CGGAATCGGCTTGCGCGTTCTGCTGTTAACCGAAAGGTTTTTAGTTCGAGCCCACCCGGTTGCGGCATTCTTTATTTGTTTTTCCTTCAAGTGAAATAGAATTTATAAAAAAGTGGATCTTTTCTGTTCATATTAATTGTTCTACAGAAAAACACGAAGTCTCCGTTTCGCAATCGGATAGCGCGTTCGGCTGTTGACAGAATGATTGTTTGTTCGAGCCCACCGGGGGCGTCATACTATATTTCTTTTCCTCAAGTGAAATAGATTAGATTAAAAAGTGGATCTTTTCGGTTATGATAAATTGTTCATCAGCAATACACGAAGCCAACGTGTCGCAATCGGATAACGCGTTCGGCTGTTAACCGAAAGTTAGGTGGTTCGAGCCCTCCCGGGGGCGGCGTTCTATATTTTTTTTTCCTTTAAGTGAAATAGAATTTATTAAAAAGTTTATGTTTATTGTTCAGATTAATTGTTCTTCAGAAACACACGAAGCCTCCGTGGCGCAATCAGCTAACGCGTTCGGCTGTTAATCGAAAGGTTGGTGGTTCGAGCCCACTCGGGGGCATTCTATATTTGTTTTTCCTTCAAGTGAAATACAATTTATTAAAAAGTGGATCTTTTTTCTGTTCAGATTATTTGTTCTTCACAAACTCACTAAGATTCCGTGGCGCAATCGGCTAGCGCGTTCGGCTGTTAACCGAAAGGTTGGTGCTTCGAGCCCATCCAAGGGCGGCATTCTATATTTTTTTTTCTTCAAGTGAAATAGAATTTATTAAAAAGTGGATATTTTTTTTCTGTTCAGATTAATTGTTCTTCAAAAACACACGAAGCCTCCGTGGAACAATCGGCTGTTAATCGAAAGGTTGGTGGTTCCAGCCCGCCCAGGGTGGCATACTATATTTTTTTCCTTAAAGTGAAGTAGAATTTATTAAAAAGTCAATGTTTTCTGTTAAGATTAATTGTACATCCGCGGCAACCGCAGAATCCGTGTCGCAATCGGCTAGAGCGTTGGGCTGCTAACTGAATGGGTGGTGGTTCCAGCCCACCCGGGGTTAGCATTTTATATTTTCTTTTCCTTCAAGTGAAATAGAATTTATCAAAAAGTTTATCTTTTCTGTTCAGATTAATTGTTCTTCACAAACACATGAATCCTCCGTGGCGCAATCGGATAGCGAGTTCCACTGTTAACCGAAAGGATGGTGCTTCAAGTCCGCAAGGTGGCTTTCTTCTACACTTATTTTTACTTAAAGTGAAATAAAATTTATTAAAAAGTGGATCTTTTCGGTTATGATAAATTGTTTTCAATAATACATTAAGCCATCGTGTCGCAATCTGATAGCGCGTTCGGCTGTTAACCGAAAGGTTGGTGGTTCGAGCCCACCCGGGGGCGGCATTTTATATTTGTTTTTCCTTCTGAAATAGAATTTATTAAAAGGTGGAACTTTTCTGTTAATATTAATTGTTCTTCAGAAACACACGAAGCCTCCGTGGCGCAATCGGCTAGCGCGTTCGGCTGTTAACCGAAATGTTGGTGCTTCGAGCCCATCCAAGGGCGGCATTCTATATTTGTTTTTCCTTCAAGTGAAATAGAATTTCTTAAAAAGTGGATCTTTTCTGTTCATATTAATTGTTCTTCTAAAACACCCGAAGCCTCCGTGGCGCAGTCGCTAGCGCGTTCGGCTGGAAACTGAATGGTTGGTGGTTCGAGCCCGCTTTGGGCAGCATTCTATACTTGTTTTCCTTCAAGTGAAATAGATTTTATTAAAAAGTGGATCTTTTTTTTCTGTTAAGATTAATTGTTCTTCAGCAATACACGAAGCCGCCGTGGAACAATCGGTTGTTAACCGAAAGGTTGGTGGTTCCAGCCCGCCCAGGGTGGCATACTATATTTTTTTTCCTTAAAGTGAAGTAGAATTTATTAAAAAGTGAATGTTTTCTGTTAAGATTAATTGTACATCCGCGGCAACCGCAGAATCCGTGTCGCAATCGGCTAGAGCGTTGGGCTGCTAACTGAATTTTTGGTGGTTCCAGCCCACCCGGGGTTAGCATTTTATATTTTCTTTTCCTTCAGGTGAAATAGAATTTATTAAAAAGTGGATCTTTTCGGTTATGATAAATTGTTCATCAGTAATACATTAAGCCATCGTGTCGCAATCGGATAGCGCGTTCGGCTGTTAACCGAAAGGTTGGTGGTTCGAGCACACCCAGGGGCGGCATTCTATATTTGTTTTTCCATTTGAAATAGAATTTATTAAAAAGTTTATCTTTTCTGTTCAGATTAATTGTTCTTCACAAACACACGAACCCTCCGTGGCGAAATCGGCTAGCGCGTTCTGCTGTTAACCGAAAGGTGGGTGGTTCGAGCCCACCCGGGGGCGGCATTCTATATTTGTTTTTCCTTCTGAAATAGAATTTATTAAAAAGTTTATCTTTTCTGTTCAGATTAATTGTTCTTCAGAAACTCACGAACCCTCCGTGGAACAATCGGCTGTTAATCGAAATGTTGGTGGTTCCAGCCCTCCCAGGGTGGCATACTATATTTTATTTCCCTTAAAGTGAAATAGAATTTATTAAAAAGTGGATCTTTTTTCTGTTCAGATTAATTGTTCTTCACAAACACGCGAAGCCTCCGTGGCGCAATCGGCTAGCGCGTTCGGCTGTAAACTCAATGGTTGATGGTTCGAGCAAACCCAGGGGCGGCATTCTATATTTGTTTTTCCTTCAAGTGAAATAGAATTTATTAAAAAGTGGATCTTTTCTATTCAGATTAATTGTTGTTCAGAAACACACGAAGCCTCCGTGGCGCAATCGGCTAGCGCGTTCGTCTGTTAACCGTAAGGTTGCTGGTTCAAGCCCACCCGGGGGCGGCATTCTTTATTTGTTTTTCCTTCAAGTGAAATAGAATTTATAAAAAAGTGGATCTTTTCTGTTCATATTAATTGTTCTTCAGAAACACGCGAAGCCTCCGTGGCGCAATCGGCTAGCGCGTTCGGCTGTGAACTGAATGGCTGGTGGTTCGAGCCCACCCGGGGGCGGCATTCTATACTTGTTATTCCTTCAAGTGAAATAGAATTTATTAGAAAGTGGATATTTTTTTCTGTTCAGATTAATTTTTCTTCAAAAACACACGAAGCCTCCGTGGAACAATCGGCTGTTAATCGAAAGGTTGGTGGTTCCAGCCCGCCCAGGGTGGCATACTATATTTTTTTCCTTAAAGTGAAGTAGAATTTATTAAAAAGTCAATGTTTTCTGTTAAGATTAATTGTACATCCGCGGCAACCGCAGAATCCGTGTCGCAATCGGCTAGTGCGTTGGGCTGCTAACTGAATGGTTGGTGGTTCCAGCCCACCCGGGGTTAGCATTTTATATTTTCTTTTCCTTCAAGTGAAATAGAATTTATTAAAAAGTTTATCTTTTCTGTTCAGATTAATTGTTCTTCACAAACACATGAAGCCTCCTTGGCGCAATGAGATAGCGAGTTCCACTGTTAACCGAAAGGATGGTGGTTCAAGTCCGCCAGGTGGCTTTCTTCTACACTTATTTTTACTTAAAGTGAAATAGAATTTATTAAAAAGTGGATCTTTTCGGTTATGATAAATTGTTCATCAGTAATACATTAAGCCATCGTGTCGCAATCGGCTAGCGCGTTCGGCTGTTAACCGAAATGTTGGTGCTTCGAGCCCATCCAATTGCGGCATTCTATATTTGTTTTTCCTTCAAGTGAAATAGAATTTCTTAAAAAGTGGATCTTTTCTGTTCATATTAATTGTTCTTCAAAAACACCCGAAGCCTCCGTGGCGCAATCGGCTAGCGCGTTCAGCTGTATATTGAATGGTTGGTGGTTTTTCCAGTGTGGACAGCATTCTATATTTGTTTTCCTTCAAGTAAAATAGATTTTATTAAAAAGTGGATCTTTTCGTTTATGATAAATTGTTCATCAGCAATACACGAAGCCGAATTATTGTCACGAATTATTGTGAACTATCTCTTTTATTCGGTTACATCGGATTGATTTTGCTTTCCCCTGGATTTCCTGGACTGACTTTTGACTGCCATCGAGATCTTCTCTTTCTTGCATTCCTGTGCACAGTCTGCTCCATTGCCGGGTGATTTGTGTGAGTTTGATACTGACATTTTATTGAGAATCTGTTCTAGTGTACTTTAGTGGTGTGATATTGCTTTTACTTGTTTTTTATAGTGTGGTGTTGAGTGAATGAGTGTTTTAATATAGCTTCTTAGTATTTTATTCTGTTTGTACCTGTGATTTTATCTAAATTGACTAAATTATAATATTTTTGGGATTTTACTGCTTTTGCCTTTATGTTATCTCCCTTTCTTTAGAATTGATTGATATGGGAGATAAAACCAGGAAGAAAGGTGAGGGGAATGGAGCGACTTCGGTTGCATTAAATTCTTCGGAAATTCCGAATGATTTAAAGAAACTTATTGACAATTTAGACCCGGAGGATTTTTGCGGGGATGCCAGGGTGAAGGTTAGAGATCTTCTTACAGAACTAGATAAATTCTCGACTACCTCAATTGAGACCAAACTCACTTATGGTAAAAAATTGAGGAATAAGATCACAGTGGAGTATTTGGATGCACTAGTTAACATTATTAAGGACCTCTGTGACGAGATTAGGAGCAGAGATGCGAACATTTTTGACCTTCAAAGTTGTCTCACCGACCCTCATGAGAGCCAAAATCTGGTCTCTCGAGAGGGAGAAAGCAGTTTTGCAAGCTAAACTAGATCT